CAAATAAAGAAATAAGAAAGATATAAAAATATAGATTTTATAAATTCTTAAAAAAATATATAGAAGAAATAAATTTAATTTAAATTTAAAATAGATTAAAGAAAAACTATAATTAGAAATATAAAAGTAATTTATTTTTTATTTATTTATTTTTTTTTTAAAGTATACCAGTGATAATTGTCTGGTTGGATGTTTATTCCTTATAATAATATTTATATATATCTTTAGATATTACTATTTAAGACTATATTATAATGTATCAGTTGTCAGTTATATCTAACACTTATTAGGATTACTCCAAATAATGATATTTGCTATAACTTGTTCCTAACTATATTAGATATAGAGACTAATCTACTAAACAAAAGTATTCATCTGTTTTAATCAGAGCATGCTTTTTTACTAGTAATTGAATAGCTTTATTTCTAACTAGAAAAGAATTAAGAGGAAGTTGAAAGGAGACACTAGGGATAATATATATAGTGAATAAAGCTATATAATCATTACTTGCTCTATTGGAAATAAATATCTTTATCACCACTTGCAGCTGGACTAATTATTTAATTTCTTATTTGTCTAATAATATTCGAGAATATTTAAAATATTTATAACTAGTGCTTACCACCTAAACATCAACTTACACATTGCAGAAAACAGAACTTATAGCCAGATGCTTTCTTGGAATAAGTATCGCAAGACCAGTTTATTATTGGATTGAGATGAGACTAGGGCAAGGATTTGTGTGAAAAATGCTGGATATTAAGGGAGTGATTATCAAATCTACTTGACAAAAGTGGACACCTTATATACCTTACAATTTCTGGCAATCATTGTAATACTAACTGAATAATCATTGCATCATGACACTTTTTCCGGAAATCACAATCTCAATATCTATTGAATTAGTGTATGAAATAATTTCTTATGAAAAACAATACTTTTACAGGTTATGATGTTAGATATCATATTAATTCTATTCAACCGCTTTCACATAGGTTGAACTGGTATCTTGTAATTTGACCTGTGGAGTGTTAATCACTATACTATGGACTTACAGATCATATAAAAATAATTTATATTTTATTTAAATAAACTATAATAATAAACTGTAAATAATAATTCTTAATATTTAATTCTATAAGCAAATAAATATTAAAAAGTACAATTTTTTTTATTTTCAAAATCATATTTAGAAATATAATTTAAAATAAGTATTCAAAATAATAAAATAGTTTATACTATATATGTTTTTATTACTATAAAAGAAAATTTGATCAAAAATATAATTTTGAATTAAATATGATTTACAATTAATTATTATATGTTACTTAGTAATTCTAATATAATATGGTTTTTGAAAAATGTTTAGATTCAATTCTATCACATGTATAATTTATATAATAATATATTATAAATTATTTGTTTTTTGTAAAGATTTAATAAACATATATATTTGTTTGACTATAAACAAAATTTTTAAAAAAACAAAACAAGATAGCTTAAAACAAGTTTTTTAAAGTTTAAATTTTAAAATATTCTATAAAAAAAACAAACAAAGTCTTATAATAATTAAAAATAAAAATATTAAACAAAAAAATTATATAAAATAAATAAGCGTTTTTTAGCTAATGAAAATTTTCAAAACCATAGTTTGAAAAATTTTATAATGTAAAAAAAAATTTTATTATAATATAAAACTTCAAATATAAAAAGATTCAAAATATAAAAAATATTTAAACAAAAAAAAAAGTTAAGTTACAGAAAAAAAAATAGGCAAGTTTTTAAGAAATATTATTACAATAAGAATGTTAAATAGACAATGCCAATAAAATTATAAAAGAAATAAAAAAGCAATATAACTATTGTATGTTTAATGGAATTATCCGAATTAATTATTTTAAGAAATTTTATATATGGTTAAAAAAAAAAATTTAAAAAGATTGAATCATGTAAACTTGCATAAACTTGTATACAGTGTATAATAATACATACTTTATATAATAATTATTATCATCCATCAAATTTTCGTACGTTAATTGCAAGTTTTTTAATCAATTCAAAAACGTTGATACTAATAAATAAACTACTGTATAAATAATCTGAATTTTTTCTTCCCGAAGTTTTCATTGTAAATACTTATTTGAAAAAAATAATAAACAAATGAAGTATTATTAGATTAAATTCATACCTTGTTTTCTTAATATATATCAAAATCCAAACAGAGAAGATTTGTAAGCCAGATTTAACGAAAATAAATATTGACCGATACCTGAACCAATTGGCATTCGGTTGTATCGAAAAAAATGTAACAGTGATTAAAAAAAAATCCAATTAATAATAGTAATAAAGAAATTGCTGAATTTATGTGTAATATAAAAATTGAATTGCTTCTAGATAGTTAAAAGATTCGCACACGCATAGAAGAATGATTGTCGTGATTCTGATTGTTAGAACCATAGTGATATGATATCAGTTCAGTCTTTAAATTGAGAGATCGATTTAAAAGATCAATCAAAATAATCAAAATAAGCTTACAAATAAAAAAATCTTGTTTCACACTTCCATTCTATTTCTGTAAACATACATTGTAATTTCCTTTTTTGGAAAAACAATGAACGACTCAATTTTTCAAACGTTTCATGTTTATCGCTTTCACGTGATTTCGCTCAATAATTGAAATGGTATAATAATTATTTACAAGGTTTATTTATTAGTCTGCTCTCAGAGATTTAACAATTACAATAAGCAATATAAATTAATTTATTCACTATCATTACATTCTTCTTTTAGAGGTGACCCCGGTCCATAATTTCTCGCCTTCTCAAACCTAAATCCTCTACCTTTATCTCCAAAATTCACTTCAAATCTGCAAGGACCATCAGCCGCCACAGCTGGATACCACACGTGTTTCGAATCCCTCAGCGCCACACCCAAATACTCTCCATTTTTTGTAAAAAATATTTCGCCGGTGTTTGGTCGATACCCTACTCCTACGGTTTCACCTATATCATCTCCCCATGAGGGACCGTAAGGTTTTCCTTCAAAGTTGTTTTCATGAAAGATCTTACCATCACATGAGTGGTAACCTATAGAGTATAAACACCATCCTGGAAATCTGTATTAAAAAACTATGGATTAATACAATATTCTCTCGTGGAAGCAGAATCAACAGATTCAGAGATACTAGTATAATCACCTGAAATAAGGATATGGTTTGGTTGTCAAGCCAATGGCCATATTTTCCACACCTTTACATCTCGAAATTAAGGTAATTTCAAAATAATGCATAAATTCGGCTCTACAACTGATCGCCTCCCGTCGTTTTTCTTCATCGACACTCTGTACCGGCCAAAAGAATGGAAAATTCGATTGTACACAGATATCCTTGTTTACGATTGAGGCAGAAGGTTTCAGGCGCCATTTATTATTATTAATTCCAAATTCCACCACACGTCCTTCGTTGCTTATATTAGGCATTCCAGTTTCATTCACCATTGACCGATCTAACACGAATCTCCATGCTCCGTAGCCCTTTTGCGAAATGATTTGATCAACTTGTTCAGCGGTGGGTAACGCATCCGAAGGTGGGTAAGAGTGAGTGAATGCGGCAGCACGCCTTGCGAGTTCACTTGATGTTCTACCTCTGCGATCTTTACTAAATAACGGAACACCCAGGTTAACTACTGTTGTATTTTGTTCGCTTTGCCGAGAATATTGATCAAGAATGTGTTGTTGAGTTTCAGTATCTACTCGCAACCTATTTCGTTTTCGTTTGTTATATACCGAATAAAGACATATCATCAAGATGATAGATATAATAACGCTTGATAAGGTGAATGCCAATATACAGTAGGCACCGCATATTCTTCCTCCATCAGGGTTATATCCAAAGAATACAGGAGATTGATAAGTATAATAGGTTTCTTGCGAGTCCATTATTACATTAGCTTGTACATTCGAGGTTAAAGAGCAACCATTTATATGTCTAATTTCAAATTGCACACGGGTGATACCTTTGCCAAATCTTCAAAATATATGACAAAAATGGATATATTTTATTTGTACATTATTTGCTTTATTTAGATTTACGCAATACGCTGACCAATTAATTTCTGACATTGTATAACCATTTTAAGTGTCCTCAGGGATATCTTTAATACCGATCATTTTCCCTAGGAAAGAATTATAAAAAGGCAACGGATGGCCTATCAACGAGACATTTTTAAGGTGTCAAGAGATGTGAGGAACAAGATTCCCGTGCAAATTTCTAAAACTGATCATGCATGCTAGGGCTCAAAGGAAGAACGAATTATGTTCAATTGTTGGCATTTGATGTAAGGCGGGGAGGGTACTTCTTCTCCAACATTGGTTTATGGCTGCAATATCGATCCTTTTGACACGAGAATGATTTTTCCTTTATTCGAATAACACACATTCCATATATCATTAAACACTCGGAAGCATACTGTTTATCGTCACCTCTAAACTATTTATCAAATAAGGAAATTATCATGATCTAAATAATGAATATCTATTTTTTTTAATTTGCATAAAACTTAATAGAGCATCGCAAAAGTAAGGATCTCTCAAGTTATTAACCAGATTAATTATAGCAAAAAAAAAAAAAAAAAAATCGTTGAACACCAGAAAGCTTTGACCAGGGATCTTTACTATGAAATGAAGGGAAATTGCCAAACAAAAGGCTTGCGCTTTGCTGTTTTCCTCCTATTTACTTCTTAACTCATCATTATCTTCAGCTCTACCATCAACTTCCATTCTCTTCGAATCAAAAAATTTTTCACTACCACCATTTTTTCGCCATTCCTCGTTATATCTCAAACTGTCTTCATCATAAACGGGATTTAACTGATCATCCCAGACATATGGCGTTCTTTTTCGCCTCGGCACCTTTGACCTGTCTGGAATTTGTGGTTCTTTAAATTTTATGCTTTGCGAAGGCATTTTCAATGAACTGGGAAGTTTATCGGAGTTGATTACATTTTTATTTTGTTTATTGGATAAAATCGCTGGAGTGGTAGTATTGGTTGTTGAAACGCCGATTTCTTTATCCTCGGTGGATGTGATATTTTTATCAACTGTGGTGTTGTTCTTGGAAGGTTGAGATGAAGTTGTCATTGTGTCCCTATCTATATTGGTTGTAATGAATAATGAAAGAATTAATAGTTTGTTGGTATTTAACAAGTGCAATAATGAAGGCAACTTCTTGTTTATTTAATACTTCCCTATTTATAAGTTTATTTATTGTCCACTCTGACGCACTGAATTAAAATAAAAAATCTATGACACCTTTAATCAGGAGTACTTCAAGGCCAGCCTTGGTAAGCAATTTATCATCTACTCACATGAATATTTCTTAATCGATGACGAATTGTTTATATATAGTATTATATTAAACTCATTTGGAACACGTTTGAAATCTGATCATCTCTTTCCTTATTTATAACTTATCACGATTCTATCTGATCAATGCTCGCATTTAAAACAATTTTTTCTAGTAGCTTCTGTTGTGATTAACCTGGCGAAATTCTTCACAGAACGTAGTTGGTTTCTTACAAATTATTAATTACTTACAACCACTTATATTTAACCATTAATGATAACTTCAAAATTTTATACTGTATATACAGTATATGTACACTACGTACTGTATATTCCACTAATCTTTAAAATTCGAAAACGATAATCGAAAAAAACACTGTTTTCTTTTAAATCACAGTTTCCCCGATTGGAAACTTGTATTCGTTTAAAGAAATAAAGAAAGTTATCATAATCTGTTACGCATTTTTAATTCAAAAGAAATTTATTATTATTATTACTATTACCGTTAATTTTGATTATTCTAAATAAACCAATGCATTATACGATTTATTTATTTCGGAATATATCAAGATAGTACTAAATTTATAAATGAAAATTTTTTACAAATATTGGGTAATTATTTTTGAAGGCATCAAAAATGCTAGATATGATTTTTTCGGACCCAACTTTTAAACAATACATATATAGTATAAATTTCAGGATCCCATCAGAAAATTTCCGGTCCGCCTTCAAAAATAATTACCCATATATTATATGCACAGTATGTTTGTTTAATATCAACAATTGTCATTTGTGATAAAACGAAATAATTATTGGAAGTAAATCAATATTTCATTATTATAATATGAATATTATTTTTATCAAGATAACTCTAATTCTATATTAAAATTAATCAACAAATTTATGTATACGTATATTTAAATTGTATTACTTATATTTAAAAAAAAATTTTTTTTTTATTATATAAAAGTATCAAATGCAAGACTTTTATTAATATACAGTATACGGTTTATAAATTAATATTAATCTATTTACAATATTAACTGCCATTATCTTAAATATACTTAATATATATTATATTAGTTCCAATATTGGATAATTAATATTTTTTTAAAGCTGATATAAAAGCTTGAAACTTAAATAAAAAACTTTTATGTGTTAAAAGTTTATTGTCTCAACAATTAAACTAAAAAAATTAATGTTTTTCCTAATACTATCAAAATATTTACTGTTACTACTGCATACAATACCCCGGGTATTAATCAATTTACCCCCTAATAAATTGATTAATACCTGGGGAGTATTTTACTAGGAGGAGGGTAGTATTAGTGGCAGGATATATCATTATTATAAAAGTCAAAATATTATTGTCTTACTTATTATTATATTAATATATCTGGGTAGTAATCAATTATCAAGCAACAATTTTCTTGAATACTACCCAGTATTATTAGTGGAGAATAGTATTTGGGGAAGGGTATTGTATGCAGTGGTATATGATAATCTTGGAATTCATATTAATATATAAAAAAGTAAAAAAGTTTTGTTTATTAATTTGATCTGATTATTAATAAATAAGTGAATATCTAAATTAATTATGTTATATACAAGCTTGTCTACTTTTGATTTTTTTTATTATGTTTATATTTTACAAGTTATTGATTATATTCATTATTAATTTTGGTTTGTTTTTAATTATAAGCTTATTGATTTTAGACTTTGGTTTGATTTTAATTTTTATAAATGCTACAATATTTTTATAGCAATCAAAAATATAAAATTAAATTTCTATTGTATTTAGATATATAAAATATTGATTATTTTAATATATAACTATATAATAATTGTCTTATAAATGAAATTTTACCTATTAGTTTAATTTTAAAAACAAGTAACAGTAGTCCAAATTGGGTTATTCGGCTGCCGAATTACAGTCGATTAAATTCAAATTTATTAATAAAAGTTTATATCGAAGTTTTGTTGTTTGGTTCAATTTATGCCACTCGGCACTTAAAAAAAACACAATAATTTGGCAAAAAAAAATATAACATTTGGCAAAAAATAAGTATTCGGCAATAAAATCATT